CTCAAAGCTCCATCCTCCCCAGGAGACCCTGGCCAGTATTTGTCCTCCCTTCTCTGGCCCTCTCCCAGAGAATCATCCCCTCTCAATTGTGAACAGGAGCCTCTGCCAGGTGATGTGTTCTCCGCAGGGAGGGGTTGAGGGGGCGCCATGTTCCCTGCTGCCAGCTGTGTCCTCCTCTGTGGAGAAGAGCTTAGGCCCAGAAGTGTTCCCGAGCACGCTGCTCTGTGGGTCAACTGTGCTGTCCTTCCTCTCTCTGCCCTGAGCCTAGTTCTTGGGGATAGATGGATGAAGGATGGGGGAGGGATAGTTCTGTGTCTTCTTCTTTCAATAAAGACATTAATGCCATCAGGAGGCCCCAACCTTATGGCCCAACCTTATTCTAATTACTTCCCAAAGGTAATTAGGAGTACCAAATGTCATATCATTAGGGATTAGAACTTCAACAATATTGGGGAACACAAACATTCAGTCCACAGCAGGAAGTGTGGGAGCTGCCTCCTCTCCTATTCACTGGGACCTGGGCTTACCTGCTGAGATGACTTCACACTCAGTCCCATCCTGGGCTGTACCCCACAGAGTCTGTGTTCTCCTCTCCTCTCCTGCCCATTCCTGGGCTTTCTTTCCTACACCACCTTGTCCCTGTGATCCCACCTGCTCCCATACCAGGCACTGCTCCTGGGGTTGCTGTCCCCTCACCATCTCTGGCCTCACTGGTCTCTGCCATTTGTCCTGAGCTCTAAACCCTGAGAGGGAGGAAGGGTGAAGCTGGGGTTGGCTCTGTCCAAGGTGCTGCACGCTCTGGACAGCTTGAGAATGAGGGACCCTGATGTGTCACCAGGGAGGAGACCTCAGGATTCAGGACCATGGGAAGACCCTCTTCAGAGTGGGCTGGACTCTGGACCTGCAGGGACCCAGCTCTGTGTTGCCAACCAGCTCCTCCAGCTCCGTGTCCCACTCTGTAGCTGATTCTCTTGTGTGATCCCTGAGCCCCTGCTTGAGTCCTCACAGTGCCCTGACAGTCAGAGCTGTGTGTGGAGACCTAATGGAGGGTCCCATGTCCTCAAACAGAGTATCCAGGGGACAGGATTCATGACTTTTCCTGTCCCAACCCCAGAATGATGGGCTGGGTCAGATAAAGTCAGAATCCATGGGGAGGTGTGTGTCCTGAGGTGCTGAGGTCTGTGTTTCCAGCTTAACTCTCAGTGTCTTTGTAAATACATTTATTTGATGCATCTGCAGTTGGTTGGTCAGTCTCATGTCCCTAAATCCTCGGATTTCTGTGCGTAGACTCTCACTGGGGTCTGCACATGGTATCACAAGGACTATATGATTAGAATGTGTGTGTGTGTGTTAACATAGTTTGCTTGTTTTTTTTTAAACAAAGACTTTAGGCCAGGAGTGGTGGCTCATGCCTATAATCTCAGCACTTTGGGAGGCTGTGGAGAAAGGATTACCTGAGCTCACAGGCTCAAGACTAGCATGGGAAACTTGGTGAGACCTCATATCTACAATAAGTCAAAAATTAGCCAGGCGTGGTGGCTCACATCTGAGGTTCTAGCTCTTTGGAAGGCTGAGGCGGAAGGACCACCAGAGCTCAGCTAGTCGAGGCTGCGGTGGCTATGAGCATGCCACTACACTCCAGCCTGGACAACAGAGTGAGATTCCAACTCAAAAACAAACAAACAAAAAAACCGAAAGAGTTTAAACAAGTGTGGTAAAAATATCAATAACTGTACCAAAAACCATTATAAGTGTACAATCAAGTGAAATTAACTACATTGGCAATGTTGAACAAACATCACTACTATTTTTTCCAGAAAAATTCCATCATGTTTTGCAATTTGTCTTTTAAGAAAATAGTGAGAGCCCTCCACTCAATGTTGATTTTTAGTGGCTTCTCCTGTAATTTGAGCTTTCCTATGTTTTTATAGACACTATCTGCTCTGTGTTCACAGATACAATTTCTCTGGGCCCTTTTTAGCCGGGAACCCGGTAGACAGGTTGGAGAGAGTCACATTTCCTCCTGAGAGGTGGTCAGCCTCTGACCACCAAAACAGTATCCAAATGCTGCTGTAATAATGGTGGAGTCGCAGGAGGGAGTCTATTCACAGAGAAGGAAGGAAAGTGCTCTTGAGAAGTTTCCCCTCAAAGTCATGTGCTGGAGGTACCTCTTGAGCCCCTCACAATGCTGGGACAGATGAGGAGAGACATACATGTCAATAATTTAAGGATCAAATCCAAGAGTGGGCAACAGATTCTGCCCATGGTCTGACAGGTGGACAGTAACTAGGGAGGACGTGGAAAAGTCCCATCATCTGCCTCCTGATGACAGAGCACGCAACGCTCCTGAGGTCTAGAGAGGATGAGGCCTGGGGCAGCAGGGCGCTGTCAGCCACAGGGGTTGGAGCGAGACCCTGTCCCTGTCCCTTTACTAGGTCTATGTTGAGGGAGAAGTTCTTGTTTAAGGGATGATTCAACAGCATACATGTTTGGACATAAAGAGAAATGTTTATGCTACAGTTTTCTTCTTAATAAGACATTTCTTCCTACAGATAGAACTTCCCGTTCGTAGCTTAGAAGCCCCTAAGGTGCGGAGAGTCTCAGGGTGGACTGTGTGTTGCCTTGGGATGTGGGTTTGTGTCATGTATTTCCTCCTCCAAATGTCACAGAATTGCCCACAGCCCACTTTGTAATGCAACTCAGTGAGTTTCACTCTTGTTTGTGGCTACAGACCCCTGGGAAACCCACACCTTTCCTGCTTTGAGGGACAGGCGGCCATATGGTACCACCTTCTCTGGCGACACCAATTCCAGATTATGAAAAGGCCATTTTCACAGATATTGATGACAGTTTCAATTTCTCTTACACACAGGATCCTTCTACCAAGAGGTGAAGGAATTCATTTGATAAGTTATCAGAGATTCATGTAGAACAGTGTTTCTCATCCAGGCAATGTCCCTCCGGAGGGCATTTGTCAACGTCTGGAACATTTTCTGGTTTTCAGAACTGGATGAGGGAGTCCTACTCGCATTTAGCGGGTAGAGTCCCCAGATGGCGCTAAGCACCCTGACACACACAAAAGCCAGACAACTGCCAGCCCCACTTGTCAACGCTGAGGAGTTGAGAGCCTACGGTATGCCCTCCCCAGCTTCCCCAGGGGCTTCCCATCACCTGCTCTTCCCCGTCTGTCCCGGCCCCTCCCCTCATCTCAGCCCCACCCTTACACCCTCAGTCCACTCCATCTGAACCTGCTTCCAGTCCAAGGTCAGCCCTGATCTCTCATCTCTCTTGGCCTCTTTCGGCCCCTTAGCAGGAGGTGCTCACTAGAGGGTGGTGTTGCCCTTCCTGGAGCTTTTCCTCGACTCCATCTCCTGAGACCAATGTGGCTGCTTTCACTGCCACCACACGAGCCCTCAAACACGTTAGATCTGCTGGGGGTGCGGCTCCTGGACAGGTGTCAGGGTCCTCAGGAAGGACTGTCACTCTGGAGATTTTGGTGGCATGGACTGGTGATCTGGAACTAACCCCAGGACCCAAGTCACTGGAGAGTGGGCTGGTCCAGGCACAGTGGCTGGACACTCAAGGTCCAGATGCTCCTGCCTGTGTGTGTCCCTAAGGATGTGACCATGGGAGAGAACCCAGGAGGGCCCAGAGGACCTGTGTCCCCACTTCTCCAAAGCCACTGTCCCTTTGCCCACCCTGATGGGGGCAGCATCCTTCGACCTCCCTCTGCCCGTCTGGGCTCCTGTGCCTTCCTCAGGCCCAGGTCCTGCCTGTCCTCAGACTTCTCTTTCAGCCTCCACAGCACATTCCATACTGATCTCCCAACACCACAACCCCTGACCTTACACGGCCTCCCCAGAGCCCCACTCCTAGACAAGCTGGATTCCTGGGTCTTCTTCAGGGAAGTCTGAATGGCAGGCAGAACGATAGCTCAGACTAGGAGGACCCTGTGTGCTCCCTCATCAGTCTCCTGCCTCGGGGGAATTTGGGAGTGTTCCCCTCTGGGGTCCCCAGTCCTATCCCTTCTCTGGATTAACTCCCCCAGCTGATTCTATGAGGCATGACACCCACTGTGCTCATGGCAGGGACACCAAGGAGGCCACATGTTCCCTAGGGACAGGTGTAGATGGGGAAGTGGAGCTTACCAGGACCGTTGAGGTCAGAGCTGTGGTCTGGGGAGGAGAGAGGCCAGAACCACCAGAGGACACCCCTATAGTCACTGGGTGTCCTCTGGAGTTATGCTTCTCAGGGGGTCTTGTGCCCAGCTGTCTTTCAGAGGATCAGGGTGAGCAAAGGGGCAGCTTCCTTCTAATGGGGGTTCAGAGGTGCATAGTTCCTAGAGTCTGTGGGGACAGGAAGAGCCCAGAGGGAAGGCCCTAGACCTTTGGGAGATTGAGGGGAAGCCCAAGGCCTGGCCTTACATAGACATATGTGGGCCCTCTCTCCAGGGATGTCAGGGTATCCAGGAATCCCCTGTGGCTTTTGGGGCAAAGGCCACTCTCTTTAGTTTGGGGACTGGGGGTTCTGGTCCAGGAAGGGAAGTCCTGCAGGGGTTGGTCAGGCATGGAGGGTGGAGGCATTCAAGGCCTTGGGGTTCACCCCAGTATGATTTAGTCTGGACCTGTGTCACCATGAGCAGGAGAGTCTTGGAGCATCTTTCCAGGCAGTGGTGAAACCTCATGGGGGAGAGACCTTGTCCTTGCCAGGGTCTGTCTCTCGCTGGATCTTGATCCAGAGTGTCCCTGTCCCTAAAGAACATGGTGTCACCTTCACTGTGGAGATAGTGCAATTGAGAATGACAAGATGTGGAATCTGGTGTTGAATAGGACCTTAAGCCAACAATAATGACCATGTCAGTTCAGTCAGAGCATTTATTGACTCAACGCAGTTCAGGAAGTTTCCACCTTCTTTCCATTGACTATTCACAATGGGTCTATAAAGTCAGTGCATCAGAGCCTTCCTTTTACAGGGGAAAACAAAAATCCAGTTAGAGCTTACTAACTGGTGGGAAGAGACTTGGATGCCTTGTACTTCACATTCAGCATGAAGGGGTCACTTTGGCTGGAACTGACCAAATTGGAGACCCTACACTGATACTCCCCGGCATCCTCCCTCTTGACGGGAGCAATGATGACCACCCTGTGGCCCCAGATGAGTCTTGTCCTCTCTGTGACCTGCATAGTCTGGTTATTGAAGATCCACTGAATGAAGGTCGCAGCGTCATTTGTGTGGCAGGCCAGGAGAACAGGGCCCTCACTCTCCATGATTGTGGTGCTGCTGGCTCTGATGAGGGGCTGAGCCACTGACCCTGTGGACAAACAGAGGAGATGACTGACTGAGTGGTCTGGGGCTTGGGTCCTCAGAGATCCTAGGCAGCTAGTGAGCCGTGCACAGGGGACCACCCTGAAATGGCCCCGACCATGTGCAGAAGGTCAAGCAACTGTTCAGATGGCAATCTAAGAAGAGGACGACACCTCCCTTCTGGCCTCTGATCACCCCAGATTGACCCCCGACTGCTCTCCTGGATATTTCCACTGTATCTGTGGTAGGAGCCTCCCTCATTCTGTGTGTCCAGCGTCCTCACCACCAGGTGGAGAGTTTTTCCCAATGACTTCCATGTGACCATTTTCTAACACTTTCTGTGAGCAAATGTCTGCTCTTCCTATAAAATTCTGGGTGTTTTGTGGAAAGTGGGCTGGCCAGCTGTGTTTGCCTCTGGGCCAGGGCAGATAGACATGAAATCAGGAAGTCATTTACTGTTGTTAGATAACTGATTAGGGAACAAGGTCGCCCAACCCATTCTTTATGACCTTAGGACCTGGAGAGTTCCGGTTAAAGGATTTCTCAATCTAAAAGGACTTTACTTCTTGGTCTGGATACTGAATATCAAAGGAAATCTCTAGGGAGAAGTGTTTAACTTACTTTCCCTCCCTCCCTCCCTCCCTCCCTGCTTCCCTCCCTCTCTCCTTCTCTCCTCACTCTCTCTCTTTTTGAGCCAGGCTCTCACACTGTCACCCAGGCTGTAGTGCCGTGGCACGATCACAGCTCACCACAGCCTCGACTTCTTGGGCTCAGGTGATCCTTCCGCCTCAACCTCCCAAGTAATTGGGACAACAGACACCTGTCACCATGCAGGCTAATTTTTAAAAAAAATTTTTGTGGAGACAAGGTCTTGCTGTGTTGCCTAGACTGGTCTTGAAACTCCTGGGCTCATGTAATTCCCTTGCTTTGGCCTTCTAAAATGATGGAATTATAGCCATGAGCCACCGCACCTGGCTGTTTATAGTGTTTAACAAAGGGCTGCCACTCTTAGAAACAGAAGGAAATCACTCAACACATTAAAGGCAGTTCATGAAAAGCCTACAGTTGATATTCAATTCCTGAGAACACTAAAACTCTTCCTCTAAAATCAGGAACAAGACAAGGAATCTACTTTGATCACTTCTGCTCAGCATGTAGTACTTGAAGTCCTGGCTACGACAATAAGCAGGAATAAAAACACCGAAATTGGTAAAGAAGAGGAAAAATTATCTTTGTTTGCAGATGGCATAATCTTATATATAGAAAAACATAAAATTCCACAACAGAAAAAAAAAAACAACTTATAGCTCATAAAGGAACTGTGCAAAGTGACAAGAAGACAAAATCAACAAGCAAAAATTGATTGCATTTTATACACAATTTCTGGACAATACAAAAAAGAAACTAAGAAAACAATTCATTTACAATAACAGAAAGAATAAAATAGGCTGGGTGTGGTGGCTCACACCTGTAATCCCAGCACTTTGGGAGGCCAAGGTGAGAGGACTGCCCTAAGCCCATAGGTTAGAGACCAGCCTGGGCAACATGGTGAGACCTCATCTCTACAATTAAAAAAAAAAAATTTAGCCAGGTGTGGTGGTGTGTACCTG